GTGGTCTCGGCGCGGAAACAAGAAAACCGTGTTCCTGGCTTTGTGTCCCCCTGCACCTGCTGAGCCAGTCTCGGCAAAACATTCACAACAACTAAGGAAGGACTAGGCCAAAGGGCGTCCGTCCTAAAATAGCTATTCAAGCAAACAACACGATCGGATCAGTTCACTTCCGAAGAGTCACTACCGCCGTTGGATAGCAAGCCTTCATAACCGCCCCGATGTCCTCCTTCTCGCCCTTGACAGCCCACTCAACGGCCTTTTCCAAGGCAACCTGGCTCTCCCGTTCCATCGGAGTGAAGTGTCCCGTGAGTGGAAGCTCGACCAACTGACTGTCTGCGACAAGGTAATCGGCGAGGCCATCCAAGCAGATCTGCGGCTCTAAAGCAATGTCTCCCTTGCCCCAAATAACGGTCGCACAAGCTTTCAGGGCCCCCTTGGGTCCGTCATCAAACAGTCCAGCCCCGCTGCTGGCACGACGGGCACCGCTACCGCTCGCGATGCTGTGCAAGGCAGTAATCGTCTCAACAGATTTGTCCCAACGCGCGTAAGCAGTTCCATCTCTGTAATAGCAGGCCATGTGCTGGAAGCTCGACGGTGCGCGCTCATTCTTCAGTGACTCGGGATATTGCTCGCCATCAGCGGTCTGAGTCCCGGATTCTGCAACTGACGGGCCCAAGGAGCTAGCAAAACACTCCGCAGCATCCTGAGACGTATACTCCCGCTTTCCGAAGGAGCCTCTGTGGATGAGCTTCAAGAAGGAATAATTTCCACCCCTTCCGAAAAACCGAACGAGAGGCATGGGCAGCTGCATAGCAAAGATGTACTTGGACTTGAAGAATTGCCGGTAAACGGGGCTCATGGTGGCAAAGGCCTTGTAGATCATCGAACGCGATTGGATCGGCGAGCGCGAGGCCGTCTTCAACATCTTAACAGATGCAGACAGCAGACGACTTATGTTGGACGTGGCAAGTGCAGGCTAACATCATCAGCACAACCGAACATACCCGTAGAATCTCAGCAATAACGTACCAATGGGCCATTACTCAAGATAAACCGATCCGCCAACTGAGGAGCTTCAGCCGCAAGTCGCATAGAAACAACACAGCCCCAGTCATGCGCGACAACAACTAGCTTCTTCTGGCGCATACCGGCCTCCGTATCCACGCCATATTTGGCTCTGATCGCAAGGATAAACTCCGTCAGACTCTCGAGCACATTAGTAGGCGAGTAATCAGCCAAGCTATCAGTCCCACCATAACCAGGCATATCAACCGCAATGAGCGTCGCAGACTGCTGAAGAGACGAAGAGCTCAGAACATTGCGCCAGATGGCCCAGCTATCGGGGAAGCCATGGATAAAGACAACCACGGGTTTATCCTGATCCGCCGAGGCTCCTTGGTCGTTGCAAACGTAGTGAAACTTGAATCCGTTCTTCAGGCTAAGTATATGATGCGAAAAGCCATCCCAATCCTTGGACAAGTCCCAGAACTTGTTGCGCGCTAGGATTCATCATAAGTCATCAGCCTTTATGTACCCCGCACAGTCCCAGCATAGCACGTAAAACAAAGAAAAGCAACATAGACAAAACTCTTACCGATCTTCAACTCCAACTCCTCCTTTTCAGTAGTCTGCTTGAAGAAATACCCCAGCTTCACAGCGACAAGGCCATAGAACAACAGTCCGCCCAACCCATATGTCAGAACCACAGCCGATTTAAGCTTTCCAAGCAACCAAGCTGTGGGCGTCATGATGCATGCATGCATGTATCTTATCCCATGCAGACACGGAAATTGTCAATCAATCAATCTCAATCACCAGCACTACAGTACTTGAGTGAAGTCCAATGACTGAAAGATCGCAAAATAAAAAAATAAAAAAAAAAAGGAAACAAAGAAAGTGAAGGGGAGAAGATGAGCTGACGACAACAGGTAACCAGCGGAGGCCGAGGCAAATTTATAGTAGACCAGAGCAAAGCAAACAGAAGATCCACCTGACGGAACTAGTCCGGATAGGATAGGGGAAAGGGAGGGAGGATCTTAGTGGAAAAGATCGAAGGATTGAGGTGGAGGGGAAACGGTTCTTGGCTGGTGAGCAAGCATATTGGTAAGTGTGTGTTTGATAGCCTTAAACTACCCAGTGCTGGTTAGTGCTTGTCTATTAATGGGGCAAATTCCGAGACTGGAAGAGGTCTCCGCCACCCAAGCTCTTCTTTCTCTGGAACTAACCAAAGTAACTCTATGGGAGGAAGAGACGAGAGGACTGGGGCCCGATGACCTAATACCCGCTCAGATGGGACCCGCCGCATGTGAAACGGGGCCACAATTAATTCGGAGAGTATAAGGGTTTTTGTGCAGTGGTGTTTGGTACACGGCAACAGCATAACTAAGGATATAAAATGTGAATTTCATTTTCGATTTATTCCATAAGTCATATATACACACATCAATTGGCAATTCCAGATTTTCGTCTCATCATAGCAAAGGCTCCAAAACGCCATATATATCGTACGTTCGTTAAACAATGGGGAATAAGACAGAAAGCAAAATAGCAAAACCTGATAGTCATCATACAAAGCTAGACCGAAAAGCCCAGGTTATGTCGGTTGTCGTCAACTAGGCGCCCGTACCTATTGGATGGGTTTTTAGTATCAATAAAGCAAAAGATACAAAGAGTGCACTTACTCTAGTAAAAGTCGGAAGAACCAGACCTCCATGTCCTCGTTCCGAAGAGCTTTCTGCGCCCATTCCCGGCCTTGCTGAGCCAGTCTGGGTGCGATCACTCTGCCCTCTTCTTCGGACTCAAAGTATCGCATTGCCTCCAGATAATCATCTCCAGTTAGGCTCAAAGGTACGTAATGTGTCCAGGGTTTGAGCCACTCATCATGCCACTCGCGGAAGATTGAGACCTTATGTACGAGACTCCTGCTGCGTAAGAACGCATAGAACCGACCACTGAACGCATTCCCATCCATGTCCAGCAGATGTTTGTACGCCCAAGCGTCTTGCTGATCAACCGGTTCCGCCAAATCAAAATACTCTCCCTGGGCGGCACAGTCCTTGTCATCACATTGGCCAATGTACGTGAACCGAACGTCGAAGAGATTTGCAAAGGAGTTCCGACCAACACCCCTGGCCTTCCATTGGTTACTTTCAGTCTTGGACAGTATCTTGGCTGTATTGAGGGCATTAACATTGCCGACGAACAATTGTCGATGCTGCCGCCGCCAGCCCCCAGCTCTGGAGTATCCTCCAGTTGTTGAGCCTCTCCAGAACATCTGGCTGCTCTTCTCATTCCACTCCATATCTTTGTCTTCTTCGTAAGGTACCTGGTCAGACCAGTACCAAGGGCTTGGGTACAGGATATCCTGGTAGCTCGAGATCTTGCTCTGCGAGAAGACCGGGAACAAGTCATGTACAGCCTCAAACCTGTTTGGCCGGTCAAAGAACCCATACTTGTGGCGGAGGGAAGGTGAGTTGCAAATGTCAGAAAAGGCGCTAGTGTTGTATATAAATCCTAACTCGCCCTGAGCGTAGGAGTTTACATTATCCGCGGCCTGCTCATCAAGAGAGCGGACCGGACTGTCGACTGGACAAGAAGACCGAGAATAACTCCACGTGGACTGACGGGTGAATCGATTGAAACGGGTAGTACGCACTTCATCAATGCGGTCACCCTTGTTCAAGTCGCTGGGTCTATCTGACCATGCATTTGTGGGCATGGTATTCGTAACAGTAATTTGAGAGACTTGCTCTCTCGCAATTGCAACCAGCCTCTGGAGATCTTCGCTGGGTACAACGACTCGCGGCTCATCGAGGGCATTGAATACAAGATCCATATCAGGCAGATACTCGACAAAACTTCCGATCATCTTAGCGGTGGCACTGCGCTGCCAGCTCTGCTCGAATGCTCCGCCTTCCACCAGTGACACAGATCCATTTCTGATCAGTACCCCGATCATAGAATTGTCGAAGCCCAGCGTCTCGCGAGCCCGATCGCGAATAGTCTTTGGTTCGAGGGCCCAAAATGGCAACAGAGCATGATAAATTGTATCATATTCATCAATCAGCTGAACCCCTCTATCTTTGGCAAATTGAAACCATTTGTCAAAATGCGGGGGCGGGTGCATGTTGTAACGCTCTCGATATTCATTGACAGCCTGAGCCAAGGTCTTCGATTGACGTGACAGTAGCCGATCGAACTGCTGCTCCGCATTATTGACAAGCGATGCAATCGGATGAAGACTGTCCGGTTGAGCAGCCTTTCGGAGGCCAGACTGTTCAATAAGCTGGGCATTGGACGGTACGGGGGGCCTCTGCAAAGTAGTCGGAGGCCGAGAATCGGGAGAAGGATAGAGGTCCACAATAGGTGAGGGTGAGGGGCTGGGACCTCTGAAGAAGATGAGGAATAGGGAGACGAGGACAAATGTGCCCAGCCAGACCACAAATCGTTGGGTTCGCATTCTGCCACCAGGGCGAGTCTACGCCATGCAGAGAGACGAGGTTTGTTGTTTGTAAACAAACCGGGAACTAAGCAGAGGCAATGATATTGAGTCTTATCGGTCCCTCGAAGATGCTTCAGTCCTTTGATTCAGCGAGAGACCAGAACCACCAAATCTCTGAAGAAAAAAAATTGCAGTAAGAACAATGGTCAATGACGAGAATGTTTCACAAGCATTGCTAGCATTCCATTGATCTGCCTGATAGACGAAGAACGATGACGGTATCAACCAGCGGGAAACTTTATCGGTCGGTCCCTCTGGCAATCCCGTGCACTATACCCGTTTGGGTATTAGTGAGTGCCCGTGCGCGGTTGTTACTACATCAGGCTAGTGGCAGAAGGCTATATACAAGATGAGCACACGAGAGTCAAAGACTAGATAGAGGTATTCTCTTTTATCTCAGGCAGGAAGATACCTCTGTCGGAAATGAAGTGGGGTTTCTGTATCTACTAAAGGCAAGCCTTACCTGCCTGCAGTAAAGTACCAACTTACATTGTTTAAATTATATATCCTGAAGGACACTAATAATGTCATCCTTTAATTCACCACTTCCCCATCGCAATATAGCTGAAAGTTGCCGTAAGAAATTCAATGAACCGTCTTTCAATGTCGTTCTCCAGGTTCCCAAGCACACCATGTAAAAATCTTCTTCTCGGGGCTTCTGGAAATGAATCCATAATTCGTGAATTGGGCCCTCTGTGGTGACAGAGAAGGCGAGGCGCAACTTGGTGTTTGGCAAATCTTGGGCTACCACAGGGCCGTCTTCAGTAATTTCTTGGCCCTCTTCGTCCAAATCTTGGAGATCCGAAAGATTCTTCAAGATTTGAAGTGCTGCTGAACCACCTACTGCAGCTTGATTCTGTGCTTGGTACAAGTTCCCCCCAGTTGCAGCAGCCTTTGCTTCGACTACCAGAAAAGGGAATCGAAGGCCAAGAGGTGTGACGTGGGGGTCACTGATAAGGCTGGAGGTTTCTTGCAGGTCAACTAGAAATCTTCGTGCAGCGCTACGGCCCTTCTTAGGTACAAGAGCGTTTGCTAAGTTCTCATCGGACAAACCGACACATATGTCTGGACGTGGATCTTTAAGCTTGAATATAGGAATGGTTGGTTCGACTGTGTATCCCGGTACGATTCGATGTGACCGGTCTCGTTTCCGCGGGATGGTAGAAAGAGGATTATATACTGGAGGTTTTAGATCCTCACGCCAGTCTAAAGAAGTTAGCATGGCCGAGTTTGACGCATTATGGTGCTTACCTCGATTGCGCGCAACTTCGAGCCCATCGGGTTTCAACTCGTCAATTGCCGTGTAAAATGCTTCTGTCCATTCGGCCTCCCCTGATAGTTTTCTGACCAGTTCTTTGGATTTATGCCAGAACTTCTCAGAAACCTTGTATAAATTACTGTCGTCAGTATCAAAGAGTACATTGAAAACCTTGTTCTCTGTCTCATGCTGAATGTCCATGGGGATCTCATCATCAACAAAGATATTTGCACGCCGGAGAAGTCTGTAACGATATTGCGCGTCACTTAGCCTGGAGGGGCTGCTGGACCGCGACCGTTGTGAGGAGCGGGTGGATGGGGAAAGTATTGGGATCTCCCCTGGTATGCCGCTTGTGCTCTGCTCTGAGGCTATATCGAGACGCGTGATTAGAGAGACAGGGCGTGTGTTTCGGTCATGCTCCTTGAGGGCATCAGTTGTGAGGCAAGCGGTTGTAGAAACGCGCTTGGAGGGGAGGGGCGTAGGGGAGCATGGCCGCTTCATTTGTGTCATTGCGCAGTGTACAAAGACTCTTGGGCTTTAATGCAGGTGAAATGTCAGGTGCTTCCCAACACAAGCGAAAGAGAGGATGACACGTCAAAGATGCTAACAGGGCGATAAAAGGGTCACCAATAGATACTACTGCGCTATGCGATGCGGCCAGTGTTTGGTTTCTTCCTCCGAGGCCGTGCTGCTGAACAGGCTAATTATGTTAGGCTTAGTACCCTTCCTATAGATAAGGTACTAAAGAAAGATGATGTACAGAGTACGGAGTAATACATAAGGTAAGGCTTGTTTGTAGTACAGACAGATACCCTACCGCCTTTCCAATAGATGATTTTCTGCTTGAGGAGCACGGTTTCTGTCTCAGGCTTGAACGGGTTGAAATGGCAGGCGGTGGAATTCTGTCGGTGAAGAAAACAAGCCTTAGTTATCTTCAGGTAAGAGTGTAGCGTCTTCCTATTACTGTTTAATCGGCCCTCCCAGGATTGGAGCCCCGTAATGACTCTTTCTTAGCTCAAGCTCTAATACTATCCAAGAATTGTGGTAGTCAGGTATAGCTTACCAGGCAAGAGGGGTAAATCATCTCCAGCTTTTGACTTTCGGGCAGTAATATTGTCTATCTGATCTAAACCTATTTCTTAAATCTATAGAACCATGGTTGGGCCTTTGCAAGCTCATGACTATTCGTTCTACGTAGTACTATTGTTACTACTGGTGATATGAACGGAAAAAGAGATGCAATCGATTTGATATAGTAGACTAGAAGACACAGAAGAGAAGGGCAAAAATTGTAAGGGGAAAAAATATAGAGGGAACACATCAGAGATAAGTGGTCCAAGGATCAGTATACTAAATCCAACAATTTCAGAAGATAGGCGCCGGGCTAAGAATAGCAGCAGAACGAGGGGGTCGCGCCATGCGCCATGGCGCGGGAGGCTTAATGAGCACGGCTGACAGTACATAGTTCGCAGCCTCGTGTCTTTGAGAATCGAATTCCATGTCCACCTGCAGTTTCATATAGTTTTCCGGTCTTGCACGAGTCCACGGTCTTGGAGGCTTACGTTAAGTGTCAGGCTGCGGAGCAAGAGGACGTGTGAAAAAGCCAGTGTCGGTCCTTTCAGTGGAATGAGGAGGAGGACCAGCGTCAGGGCTTTAGGGATGAGTTGAGCGGGTGGCCAGGCCAGTGAGGGTATTGTCATCAGTGCGAACGGCTGGCAGGCCGCCCTCTACTGGTACGTAGGTCTTCTTGCGCTAGTCGATCTCATAGCGGTTAGGATTGCGGAGCCGGTCTTCGGACACGGGATACATCACTGGAGTTCCTCGTATGCTAAGCGCAAGCAAGGTCGATATAGTCCCACGGCGACGTATGTCTCGAATGGCACTGGCCGGTACAGAAGTCGGGTAGAGTTGGTGCACTCGCAGGAATACATCCAGCACGAAAAGCTGACAGTTTCGTGTGAAAATGTTGTATATCTTGTAGTTCTCGTACACTTTGTTCACTGCATCCTCAACTTGGGCAAAAGTAGCGAAAGCGTCAGGTATTGTGAACGATCTGGTGGGTCAACTTTCATTGGGGAGCTCTGAAAGGTTCTTTGGATAACCTAGAAGATGTGGTACACGCGATGTAGCGTCTGCGCTCTTCATAGCCAATGTGATAGAGGATTCCTTTTGTTCCACCATTTGGTAAGGCAGAAAGATGGCCCAGTGGGAAAGACTGCCATGTCTCCAGGATATTATATGCAGCGGCAAAGGTCGGTCTTTTGGTATAGAAGCTAAACTAATGCTAGAAAGACTCGACATTCTGGCTCCGATAATGATGTTAGAAAAGGAATGGAGAACATTCTGTGCTAGTTAGTACTTGCCACAGCAATGTCTCTGGTTATATACCGTTCTTGTCATTCAATCTAAAGAGGGCCTTATGTGAAGATCCGATTTCACATGCACCCGTAGTAGTGAAAGTCAGCTTATAAGAAGTGAGCATCCTGGCTCTGTTGACACAGAATTCTAATCTTTCACTGGGTAGCCTAGCGGTATCATTTGGAGGATTCACAGTCCAAATCGTACTAGACTGAATCCTGACACCTAAGACGAGAGAAGTACTATGTAGATGGGAATCCTCTATTTATAACAACTCAATCACTACTAGTCTAAATTGATATATATATTGAATTTCAGGAAACTTCCGTACTAGGTAGTTACTATATTTTGACTCTCCTTCCATACAAGATTACTTTTAGTAGAGTAATTTATTGCTTATTTCCGGGGTTTACCGTACTGGAGTAGATAAGCGGGGGACATCCGCTGGCGAAACGGGTCCAGCCCATTTCTATTCCCCACCAATTTCTGCCAGCTCGGGAGTGGGCAGGAACCTACTATACACCCACACACCATGTCTGCCCTCGAAGACAGAGTATACGTAACAGGATGAGACAGATAGAACTAACTATGGCGCACGTGCGGAATAATAAAGCTACTGTGCTAAGAAGTTCTCCCGCTCCGGTGGTTGGCGCGCGCGGGCGGCTCATTTGAGGACGCCCAACAGTAGTTCGCGACCTCACTTCCTTCCTTCCCTCAGTCATACTCCCCCTCGCGGCTTCGCCATCATCTACAACATGTCAGAGGTAGAGGAAATTGAGGCCCGCCTGGCTAAGCAGCTGGAGGAATATCGGAGCATCATACTAGGCACAGACCTCTGCGACTATATGGGGAATCGCGTGGTGGAATCCCGAACCACGAGCGGTAACTTGGTCGCTGTGAAAGTGAACCGGAAGGAAGACTACAGGCGATCGGAAGCTGAAATGATGCAGTTTGCCCATGAAAAAGGGATCCTCACACCTCGGGTACGCGGTTGCTATGACGTGAAGAGGGGTGTCATAGCCACAGTGACTGACCGGGTGCCTGGCGATTCGCTTGATAAAGTCTGGCACACCTTAACCAAGTCTCAAAAGAAAAACATTGAACTCCAACTCAAGCAGCAGGTAGGTTTCATAACCTACATTGCCTGGTTGAGCAATTTGTGTGCTCACCTTTTCAAGGTACAAGAGATGCGGAAACACACCCAGCCGTATATTGGCCGTATCGGCAATGTCACGACATATAATTTCTTCGACCGCCTGCACAATAATGACATGGGTCCCTTTGCTTCAGAAGAGGAATTTGATGAGTGGTGCTTTGCCAGAGTTAAGTTTCCTTACCAATAGGCATTCTGGAAGCGATACTTGCCTAAGATGAGGAAGAAGAGGCCTTCAAAGTTCGTTTTGACACATGGTGATCTGTCTGCGCGGAATATTATGGTTCAGGATGGCCAGCTCACCGGCATCGTCGATTGGGCGTACAGTGGATTTTTCCCTGAATACATGGAGTATGCCTTGGCAACGGTCATTCATGAATCTATAGAGGATTGGTGGCTTCCCGTGCTGAAAAGGGTGCTGGAGCCCTCTGGGTATCTCCGGGCCAAATTTATCGCTACCATCAAGGATCGAGGGTGGTAGTCATCCTTGTCCTCTTGTTCTCTCTATTGTCCGTCTTCTTGTCCAATTTACCCTGGCGTCATGCGAGCTTCTCATGTCATTGATATGAATTTCGTCTAGAGGTGTTCTTAATTCCCCACTATTATGTACATCTTATGTTCCCTCATGTTTCCTCATGTCTACGCTAGATACCCACCCCTACATCGTGGCCCCGAAGGGTGTCTCACGCATACAATTCAGGCCGAGGCTGTTTCAATTTGTGCGATATAACCTCCTTAAAAATGTTGGATCAAGTTGTATTGACTCGTCTGCGTCACCCCATCTGTTCCCCGGGGCAATTGCGACTAGACGTAGAATGAATTTATCCCAATATGGAATATAGCTTTTTGTATTGAAATGGAGCAACATGTATTCAATACTAAAATTCACATAAGACCGCTGTTTTGTTATTATACTCATCTTGCTTTCCATGATATCAAGGTCATCAGCCTGCCCGTAGATCCAGACTCAAGGCCTTGCCGTCTTTGCTGGCGGCGCAGCATGTTCCCGCAGGGCCAGGTTCGAGTCGCTTCCCAAATCAATACCTCCTTTGATTTCCTCCAAGCTCGGCCTGCGTCCACGCTGTACTCGGACCCCAAGCAGCAGGAACCCGGCAGCAGCAATCAACCCAACGACAACTAGAGTCACAATCGCACCGATGACTCCTCCAACGGCGGGGCTGATTCCTTTGCGTCCGGAGGAAGAGGCTGCGCTACTACTCGGGCCATCGTTTCCATCATCCAGGACACCCGGACAGAATACAGCTGACGAAGACGAATCACACTGGAGGCACCACTCCTGCGTCGAATTCAGCGCAAAGGTCTGCATCTCAGCCTTGAACTCGCTATAGGGAACTTCGATGCTGCTGGGGCTGTGTCCAAAAAGCGGGTAAGATTGGAATTCCGGTGATGTTGTTCCATTGCGCAGGAGGAACCGCACATAAAGCTGAGACGGGTCAGGATAGGTTGGAAATGACTGGTTTTCCAGACTAAAGAGCTCAAAGGTGAGCGAGGCCCCGAGCGCAGGTCGTCCATAGAATTTTCCATTTGCCGGGGATGCAAGTTGCACGAGGGAGGTAAGAGCCACAGCAGGCTCGTAGCCTCCGAAGACGAATGTCAGTTTCCCACTGGTACCCCTGTAAAGAACATTGGTGTCGAATGCATCCAAGATACTTCCGGCTAGTGTCTGACCTGCAATTGTGCGAATGGCACTGCTATCGATTGGGCTTGACAATGATGTATCCGAGTTGCCGTTTGTTGCAAAAGTGTATTGATCGGCATACCAGCGCGCGAGCCTTATATCCTCTTGGCTGACGCTGTGCAACAATGTCTCGTTGTGCAAGAGCTGGTATTCTAAGAATTCAGAGACCGCAATGGAGTTCGCATAGTTGACCGAAGAGCGGTCAAAATCGCCTGACAGGGCCTGGATGTAAAGACGGTTGTAGAGCGCGTCAGACTCCTGTATCATTTGCTGAGCGTCCGTGCTAGCCTGATAGTCAGC